AAAGTTTTGGATTTTAGTAGTATAATGGAGCGTTCAGGTCAATTTCAATGTCCCCCTGATTTTTTTAAAGCACTTCTGAACCTGTTTTTTCATTTGGATTTTTTTGTTTCCCTTCCCTCTTTCCTTTTTCCCGTTCCCTTTCCCTTTTTACCTTCTCTCATGCATCTTTTCCCTTCCCATTTACCCCTTTCCCTATTGCTATATTTCTTTCCCAATTGCTCCTTTTCCTTTCCCTATTGCCCCTTTTCCCTTCCCTCTTCCACTTTTCCCTTTCCTCTTCCAGTTTTCCCTTCCCTTTTCTCAATTCCCTTTTCTCTTCCCCTTTTCTCTTTTCTCTTCCCTATCCCCTTTCCCTTTTCTCTTCCCCCTTTTTTTCTTTTTTCTTCATTTTTTCCCCCAAACCCAATCAAAGCTCATATTTTTGCCCTTCCAGGCAAACAGAAATATATACACGCCTGGGTTGTTCATGTTCATACACAAACGCAACCGAAACTGGACTTGAACCGAAACATGAAATTGAACCCAGTATTCAATCCTTATTCCTTAGTCGCAGTAAAAAGTTATCAAGTTACACATTTAAAGATAACATAGAGCTAGCGAGGTTGACTAATTCATTATTTTAAAGAATTTATCAAAAACCTTCTCCTTCTCTCATGTTGAAACTGTAAATTATTGTTTCGACATAAACCTAATTATATTGAATGTAAACAGACCGATAAACCAGTTTTAAGCTACCGAAACCTAGTTCACAGTGTGTTCCAGAGTAAATTTTATCCATTCTCTAATTGCCTACCCTTGACTAGAACCAACATTTGAAAATGAAAATTGTAAATAATAATCTGAAAATAAAAAAAAACTTCGATGATTTAATAAAAGCGAGGGAAATGGTGGGAGTTACTAAAACTATCAATTTTAATATAAACCCGGGCCACCCCAGGTTCCCAAACTAGTATACAAGGGTTGAATAAAAAATTGGACAAAAGTGACCATACGTAAGTATAAGAATTAAGCTAAAATACAATCAAAACTTGTCATACGCATTGATATACAATAAAACTTGTTTTTTTACTCTTGAGCTCAGAAAACATTTTCTATGACACATTTTGTTGAACAAAAGTAATTCTGCATTTTTTCCAAATTCCCACATGTTTTAACAACAAAAATGGATTTAGCTAAGTAAAGTAAAAACACGCGAAATTTTAAGTGAAACTTCGCAACATTTTCAGTTACTGTTAAAAGCATTTTCAGTTACTGTTGAAAGTTTAAAGTAAAATGTTTACTCCCGAGGTCCATGAAATACTTCAAATTTTTATTCTTTTCTTGTTAGTTGCACTGATAACAGGTAAAATTAAATTATAAAACTGGAAAATCCAGCGTTTGATGATACAGTGGAATTAAGTGTAAATTGTTAAGGTTCTTTGGTTTACGGGTTCTTTTTGGATAAGAAAGTTAGAAAAATCAGAACCATGTTGAAATCTAGACCAAGTTCAAGGTAGGCTTATCTTTTCTTGTCTTGTCAGACATATATTTACATTTTTATCATATTGATAATACGAATACTTTAGCACAAAAAAATTAAACAATTAAAGAATGTGTTAACACAGAATTCTGTTAAAAGTGAACATTTCAAAAAGGTTTTTTTTTAATATTTAAGGGAGTGTAGTCGTATTCCATTTTACTCACAACTCAACGGAACCCTTAAAAGCTTTGCCTGCTCAAGAATGAATAAGTTATTAATGTTTATCTCTAAAAAAAGTTAATATTTTTCATTGTAGCTTCTCTACAAAAGTTAGACTTGTGCCTTTTTTTCCTAAGAACAATAGGAGAAAATTATCAAAACTAAACACACTGTCAAAGCTAGAAAAACGACAATATCTTCTACATTATTGATCAGATAATGTTACTGTTGTTCATTGTAAATTCCGTTCTATGAATAGTATCTTGAAATTACATCAATAGTCCAAAGTTTTTACTTTTCTTAGGAGACAGAAGTCAACTCGGCGCGGTGAGAGTGAATCGACAGAGAATCAGATGAAAACTAATTGATTAGACCGATTCATGCATCGACATCAAGAAATAAGTAAAAAATGTGTTTAATGCAATTTTTATCTTTTAAAAATTATAAACCTTTGACCAATCATCGAGTAAAGAGAGCGCTGTGTTTAAATGTAAAACGCGGTGTACGCTGCGTACAGTGTGAACTTAACACAACAGATGCGTTACTTGTGTCTCTTGACATTACCCAAATATTTTACATTAAAAGCCGTTTCCAAAAATTCTATTAAGTGAATATTGTTGTATTTAATAATTGCTAACAGCTTGCAAATACAAAAGTGTTTGTATGATACTGAGAATATGTCCGATTTTAAAGTACGCTTACAGTCCCTTTAAGTTTCTTAAATGTATTTTTACCAGCATTGCTGAGCTGCCTCGACTTGATCTTGGCGTAAATAGAGTTCAGCGGTCAGCAGCCAGGTT